AACTCATAGTAGGAAATGTTATCAGAATACACTGTTAAATCTACAGAGATGAAAATCAATTTGGCCTTGCCAAATTTAAAGATATTGAATTCATTGCCAGTATTTGAAAGCTTGATATTTCCCACAGAGTTCTTATTTCCAGAGTTCTTGAACTTCTGATCAAAACTATAGTGGTGGATTTATATTCTCTTATGGCCATAATCAGAACACAACTCATGTTCCATTATAGTTAGGATGTGTGATCTCCATATTATATTACTGTTGACTTTCTTCAGTTTTATGTTACTTGCCTAGTGCCTATAGGTATATGAGTTGGTAAAACCTGATCTACAATATTCCAGAACTGTTTCACATTCATAATGCTTTTTACTTCTCTTTGAACACTACCAAGAATTTCTCTCCTGAGATAGCACCTTCATTTTTAAAAGTTCTTCCTTAAACAGACATAAAATCTACTTGTATCTTTTAGCTGTTTGTCTTATATTTGCTTAATGGAGTCACATTAGAAGTCTAATCTTTTCTGTGATAAATCTTTAAAAGAATATATTATCTCTTGGCAATTTCACCCTCATTTATGGATTTAATTAACACCCATGTTGCTGACTCATTATTTCCAACTGCCTACTGAACACGTCTGGGTCTTTTTCCCACATTGTAATTCAAGCACAACATGTCTGAATTAAGGCTGAACTCATCTTCTCCACCAAACCAGGTGCTACTTCTCTATTCCCTAGCTTAGTAAATGGCCTCAGCATTTATGGAATTATTCAGTCTAGAAATCTAATCTTGCTAAACTCCTTGCTTTAACTCATATCTACTTAGCAAGTACCATAACTGCACTGAAACTTATTTTAATTCTTCATTATCATTTACTGTGGACCACTGCAATAGCCTGCTAATCCCCATGTCCACCTTCAATCTGTTCTTTACACTGCTGCCATTAGGTCTCTGTAAAATGTGGATTTTCTCCTGTTATTCCCCTAATTTAAAAAAATGTCACTTATGTGCCTTAGCCAGTTGCTCAGTGGTTAGAGCTGTGGACTGAAGGGTCCTGGGTTCAGTTCTGGCCAGAGGCATGTACCAGTTGCAGGCTCGATCCCCTGTTTCTGGGCGAGTGTGGGAGGCAACCAATTGATGTGTCTCTCTCACACTGATGTCCCTCCCTCCCTCCCTCCCTCCCTCCCCTGTCTCTGAAAAGCAATGGAAAAGATATCCTCAGGTGAGGATTAAAAAAAAGTCACTTACCTGCCACCATGTTCCATATGAAGTCCAAACTCCTTAGCTTGCCCTTCAGAATCAGTTTCCGTCCACTTTCTAGTATCATGCACTACTATGTCCTAACATTACCATCTTTGGACCAGTCACACTGACATTTAGTTTTTCACATTGTCTATCAATTACCTGCTCTCCCAGCACCCTTTCCATCTCATCTGACAAGCAAACTCCTTTGATTCCTGTAATACGAGTTCAGTGAATGCCTTCTTGTGAGGTCATTCTGCTCCACCCCACTTTAGACGGAGTAGGTCCTCAATTTTGTCTTTCCATAGCACCTTATGCGCACAGCTAGCACTACTTGGAAATCAGTATTTTCTTTTTCTCTCTCTCTAATACTAAGTAGGCTATTCAGGATACGGATTGTAGCTTGATAGTCTTCTGGAATTCTAGCATCTAGTGCAGACACTGGCTCACATTTGGCACTCATTAAACTTCAGTTGGATGGGTGAATCAATAACTACTTCTAGGTTAAACATTTTCAGATTTTTATACATTTTAAGACTCTTCATTATCCTGACTATTCTTGGTATATTCTTTGTTTTGCCAGTTTTCTTCTTCAGTTGAAGTTTACTATGATCAGCAAGAGAGGAACAGGAAACATAATTCTGTGAGGAAAGATCTGTATAGCTGGTTAAAGTTATAGATAGCTGGTTTAATATCTTATTTCATCCAAACGCTACCTCTGTGGTCATGGGAGATTTAGTCACCTCACTGAGCCTTGGTTTCCTCATCCGTAAAATGTGAATAATATCTGGTCACAGAATTATTGCTGAGAATATGATACAATTATTTATACTGTATCATTCAATTATTTATATTAGGTTTATATTCTAGAACTCACCACATCATTGCAGTGTGTAGTAGTCATGTTAAATTTTTTTGTGGAATAGTCCTCCAGAACTAGACTGAACTCTCACCCTTTTGAGGGATATTATGTTAATTTACATTTCTGAAAAATGGAGTATAATGTACATTTAGGTTAGAAAAGTTGGAATAGGAAGCATATTGAATATTTTAGTTGAAATATTATGACTGTGTTCACAGTTACTTTACTCGAACGGAAACCCATCTGTCCCTTTTCTGATTGCTGTGAACTGTATTTAACAAGCCTCATGAGCAGTGTGATGAAGAATTCCTCAAGCTTACGCAAGTTTCACCATCTCATATTCAATGGTGGCATCGCAGTCAGTTACTCTCTCTGCAAGACAACATCTGTCATTAAACCCTTTTATTGCCTGAATACTCTCAACATTCAATTAAACTGGAAACTCTTCCATGGAGATAGAGCTTGAATTTTAGTGGCTGGCATGGAGTACTATATCTAAATCCAATGGAAACTGCTTTGACTGGCTTCTGGTGGCCTGGAAAGGGCCTAGAGTTGGTCTAGTTTTTCCCCTTGTTTGAAATGTATGCAGGCAAACAACAATCATTGGAAATGACATACTAAGAGAGTGGCACTATAAAAAGTCCAAAATGAAGTCACTAATCAACTGGAGTCAAGCTTCGGAAGATAACCAAGAGGTGCAGCAAAATGAGACCATGAATTAAGTAGTTCAGAGTGGCAAGACTCCTTAGCTGCACTCACCTATACTTTTATATACCTGCATGTTTTAAAATCTCAAAGGGAAATACTGGAGCAGCTTCCTTAAATAACAGAGCTGAAGAGAAAGCACCAACACCAGCCTCATAACAGAGTTCATCATAGAAAATAAAATACCAGAGAGTCAGTGGAATAAATTGTTGCCACCAGGCAGACCTAGGTTTCAGGAAATATAGTTCGAGAAAAAGAGCGATAACTAAGCTGTCTTTGTCGAATTGAGGACTTACCTTTATTCCAGTATATTTATACTTTCCCTAAAATATCAATCTGCCATACAGATTTTATTTTGAGAAGCACATACTTTCAAAGTATATGGCCACCTCACTCTCTGAACCAAGGTGAATGCATGCTTTGCTGCTTGTATATTCAACAAGTTTGGTTACCTTTTGGAACCTGAAAAGTTAGGTAGAAAATATATTGTAGTTTATTTTACTAGACAAGCAATGCATCCCTTGAAAGATTAGCTAAGGAAGTGCTTAGATCTCCAAGAATTGCAGGAGAAGGTGGGATGTTGTTCATTTTCTCCATTTTAAGAGTATGTGATCCTACTGAGTCTTTAGGTTCATATTTGCTATTATAAATGAATTATTTATTTGCATGAAGCTAAACAAGTTTCATAATATTCCCCTTGAACTAAAAGGAAATTTATAATTTGGCAGCATTTTAGTTACAGCCAAAGCATTGAGTTTAATACAGGCAGATACAGATCTCTGGAGCTCAGCTTGGCAGGAATGCTCAGTGGTCTGTCCAAAGCTAATCATTTTTCTTTCTTCGTTCCAAATGGGTGAGAGGTTTCTTAATTGGAATGGGTTCTATACATAAAAAGCTATCTTCACTCCATTTACTATTGATTTCCAAAGGTTTGACCTCTTATATTTTTCAAAATTGTGGGTTAACCTTCTTGCCTGAAGGAAAATGGCACCTGGGAATGACATTTCCATTTTCTAAAGTAATGTCACCATAGAAGCCAGACTAAAATGGCCCGTGACACTAACCTATGGCTCTTAAGAGGTTAACATCATTTTCTTGGTTTGATAAAAGAAACAGAGGCAAAAACAAAAACATGATTTTATTTTCAGTTGACCAATAAAGAAGGGTATTGTCTCTGTCTTTCAAAAAAGTTTCTCAAAACTTTTTACTCAGTAGGATATGACAAGGATGAGGTCACAGACATGACATCTACTCTGTGCACTGTCAGTTGTTAAAAGTCATAATCCTGTTCCAGTAAAAGCTACTTCTCTATTTCAATCAAATTAGGGGAAATGACAGTTATGAGAAAGGCATTTTATCGCACACTGTGATATTGAAGGCAGTCATTGAACCAGTAAGTGCTTTGACCTGACATAATAGTTATCATTTTAGCAGCTTTAACCAATTTGGTCATAATTGCTGGGAAGATAGTTTGTCACATAAAGAATTCCTCAGTTCAGACTCTGTAGCTTATCTTTATGACATAGTCCTATCATGGCTAGAGCTAACATGGTCATATCTTCTCTGTTGTAGAGACATGAATATCCACATTTTATTCCTAAGAAGAAGGGAATCCTACAAAAGTTTATTCCCACTCGAGAGAACAAATAGAGGAGAGAGAAACTTATTTTTAAATTTATCTTTATATTCTATCTACATGAATTCCAATAAAGTCTATACTATACCCTTCTTTATAGCTTGAACTCTTGCATTTTACTTACTACAGATCTCAAAGACTCACCCTGTGAATTACCGGGAAAGGACAAGACAGGTGCAGAGTACTGGGCTTGAAATGCAGGCACACAGGACTCTCACTTCCTTTCCTTCACTCCCCCACTTCACACCTACCTCACCCCTCCTGTCGCTGTCCCTCGCCGCCCTGCAGTCCTGCCCACCATCTCCTTTCCTTCCCTATTCAGAACATTGGCGCCTGTTTTTCTCTCTGCCTAGTGTCCTGTTCTTGCCCCTTCCACGGCTGCCGCGTCATCATTTTCCGTCTGTGTTTAAATGTTGCCTCTCGGGGAGGTCTGTCCGTGCATCCTGGGCCTGCAGCCCCTCTTCTTTTCTAAAACGTCATTGTTTTGTTATCCCCGGGCCTGATCTCATGCCGAATGTGTGGGCGAACTGGACGCAGTGCCTGTGTCCTCTCCGGCAGACCATGCTAGTGAGTTCCAGCCCAGGCCGCACTGGATCTGGGAGCCTTTCAGCACTGCTGATGCCGGGGCTCCACCTGCTCGACATTCCCAGCAATGGGCCTCGGGCTGGGCCCAGGCATCAGTATTGTTTAGAACGTCCCGGAGGCGCCTAACTCACAGCAGGGCTGAGAAGCTGCGGGAAAGCGCCCGTCGGCTTCACTGGCCGCTGGCACAGGCCTCGGCAGGTGTGAAACACGGTATGGTCACCTGTGGGATATGAGTGTTTCAATTCATGTCTGGCTTATTACAGATTCTTGATTCTTCATTTCCCAAAACGTCCCTTAGAGATGATAAAAATATTCTCAAGCAGCAATACTCGAAAAGTTGAAATGAAAAACAAACAAGTGTAAGTAAATCTTCTGAGCTTCAAAATAAAAAATGTATCCTGTTTTTCCTTCCAGTGATGAAATCAAGATAGCTTCCTTTAGTTCTTTCACTGAATTTTTAAAGACTGTAAGCCCGGCCAGGCGTAACTCAGCAGTTGAGCATCAACCTCGGATCCATGCGATCAGGGTTTGATTCCTGGTCAGGGCACACACCCGGGTTGCAGCCTCGATCCCCAGTAGGGGGCGTGCAGGAGGCAGCTGATCAATGACTCTCTCATCATTGATGTTTCAACTCTCTCTCTCCCTCTCCCTTCCTCTCTCTGAAATCAATAAAATATATATATATATTTTTAAAAAAGAATGTCTGCCACAAAATGTGTCTATAAGCTGTATGCGTATTTAATTTTTCTTAACTTTGAGAACCTTTCTAAAGATCATTAAAACCCTAAATCAGTATTTCCATCATAGGGCAGTCATTCTTGCTCATTACAAAATAAGTAATTTTTAATTAAACATAAACTTATTTTTCTTTTTGCTTATTAGCAAAATAATTTTACTTTTTTTAGTATTATCTGTATTTTAGTGCACTTTTTAATTTATTTTAATAACTGGTGATTTTGTTCTATACTGAAGCCAGAACTAGGGTGTGGCAAGAGAGGCATTTGTCTCGATGCAAAATTTCAGTGCCAAAAAACTCAGTAATCAAAATAATAACATTTTAATGTAATATTTTTTTAGAAATAAAAATTAATTTTTAAAAAAACCCATCTTGAAGATAATATCAAAATTTTAAATAAAGACTACTGTGGTGCTGAGCTGTATCAGAGTCTGAGGCAAAAAGAAAAATGTGTATGCCTAGATACATTTTTTAATTTTTAATGGGTAATTTTTATCAGAAGAATATAGTTGATGAAAAATGGTTCAATGGTATTTTATGCTAAATGTTTGGCATAAAATAATTTATTATAGTTTTAATTAAGTTGAAGTGAATTAAAATTATTGTAGATTATCTCTTGGTCAAGAGAAATTGCCAAACGTGGCAATTTTCTCAACTCAGAAGGAGATAAGCAAAGAAGTAGATTTTGAAAAAAATGATTGATGAGTTTGCTTCCATACAAGTCAGAGTCCACACATTCCCTTTGGCCTCAGGCCCCAACATGGCTCCACAGAGCACTGTGATGCATGTGAGTTTTTATTTATAAAGAAATGCAGCTGTCTCTCCAAAAGAATATGTGACACTATTAAATAAAATTAAAATTGTTGGCAAAAGTGAGACAAAGATGGTTCTTTTGTGTTGATAATGAAGATTTAAGATTCATGTCCTTTGAAATGTCATGTAATATAGTACAAACATAAATATACAAAATTTGTTCAAAACAAAAGAATGAATAATAATTATAGTATTAACACCTTAATATTAATCTAAGAACATAATCCAATGGGAGAATTTAGTAATAAAGTGAAAGGTATGATTTAATGGCTTAATATCATCTTGGCTAAATTTGTTTTAAATGCAGTAAATTATAAATAGCAGTTGTACAAGCTATTTTCTGATAGCAAACAATAGAACAGAAATAATATTTTAAGCCAAAAGGAAAATCAGAAAGTACATCCTGAGTTTGAAAATATATCCTTTTCGGGGTTTTAATGTTTTCCCCATGGGAATATCTGAAAGAAAGTAGGAAGCGTAAGGATTCTCTAATTAGAAATACCCACAGCCAGGAAATGAGCAAAGCTTCAAAGCTGTGGTATCAAGTATGCCAGAAGTTCTGGAATATTTTATAAGCTCTAACAAGAATAACTTTATAAAAGTTAGACATTAAAATGTCCCCAATTTTACTGAGTTCCATTCTTCATGGTTCAGATGATTTTATTTCTAAAGGTGAGAGGAAAAAAGAAGGAAGCTAAGAGACAAAGAGAGAAAACAGTGAATATTATTTTTTTAATATTACTTAATCATAAGAATCTCAATAAACTATTGATGATAAACTCTCCTACTCCCTTTAGGAATCTGTTAAATAGACACCCACAGAAAGAAAAAATTGAAATTCCTATGGAAAATCTTAATCATCTCTATTTGGATTACATATATGACAGATGAAATGTGTAGATGGTGTTTTGTTGCCCTAGTAAGAGTCAGTGATAACCCAAATATGTTCTTATTTGAACCAATATGTGTTAAAACATTCTAGTCATCTACCTAAAAACAAAGCTAAGCATTCCAATTGAGAAAGAAAAAAACCCCAAAGATTTTATGTGAACCTGTAAATGGGTTTCACAGCAAGTCAGCAAACTGCAAAGAACAATGAATAATAAATGAACACAAGGTCGGCCCTATAGGATGTTTCTCAGCAAGAGGAATGTCTAAGACTTCCAAATACTCATGCCTATAAAATCATTTTACTGTTGTTCCTACAATTTAAATAATTAGGCAACTGATCATTACTAATAAAGAGATTGTAGGTCTGAATCACATCTGCAACTGAAAAGTAAACTTTATCCTAGGAGGTTATAATGTCTTATAACTGAAACCAGGCAGCACTAGGGGCAAACCAGAGGCTATCAGAAGAGCTGGCCATTTATGTTTCCTCTCATTTTGAAGATTGATTTCGCTAGTGCTAGAAGCATCAGAAAAGCAACTAAAAGCATTTACTACGTTCTATCCCCACTGTTTACCATCGCAGGTCTATTAATGTTCCTTTGTAGCCTTCAGGTTTTCCGCAGACATGACTGGAGAGCTCTTTGTTATCTGCTATTAGCCTCCAGATCTGCACACATGAAAACTTCTCATCAGACTGGAAACATCAGCAAACTTGTTAACTCTTGCAGAAAATTACACTGTTTTACAGAAGTCAGGGAGTCTCTCTATCTAAGACCAGTTGCTGTTCTGACTGCCAGTCTACTACCAAAGTGTGAGCAAAGAGCAAAAGGCGTTAGTTTAACATCACGGCAGTAAAGAAGTAGAAATATTTGGGGCAGCTTGAGTATTGGGACCCAGGTTTTTTTTTACCTTACGATACTTTGAAAGCATCTTCAAAAAGATGGGATCGAATCTCTGTAAATAATAGATTTATTCCAAGGACTTTGAAGTACACGAGTCCTGTGCTCTTGTTGAATAAGTTAATACCATCTATAGTGCATTGACAGGAGGCCCCTTCACCCCAGTGAATCACTTTATTAAGCTATCGGAGCTCTGGAATTGGTGCATCTTAGCGATCATGTGTTTGGTTAAGTCTGTTTCCAGCAGGGCTATGTTAGATCCATGTAGACACAGCATTAACACCATTAACACTGGTTTGTATTCATCAGTTCATTTAGCTGCCAGTAGAGCCCTAAGGCAAACTCTTCAATACCAGTATTCTCCTTTATGTATACAAATTCGGAACCCAGGCCCCAACCAGATTGTGCCCTGCTCAATGCCTGGATCATCTGTCCCCCTTTCTAGAGCCCCAAGCCTGTAGAGCTTTGGCTTCTGCCTACCCAGTGGAGACCCCTGTGGTCATGGCCCTCCATTGTCCGTACCACAGAACCTACAGTTCAAGTATAAACTCATTCGCCCAGCCTTCAAGGCTCTGCAGAATCCGGTAAAAACTAGGTTTCCAATCTCATTCCCCACTCCCGTATGTTACACTGTAATTAAACTGGACTCCCAGCAACATGTTAATCCAAAGATCTCCTGCTTTTTGCCTCTGCTTATGCTCTTGTTCTGCTTGGCGTTCTTCCAAAAATTTTTCATACCTGCTGAATATCATGCATCGTAACTTAAGGGATACTGCTCGTGTTTGTAACACACACATGTTCCTGCACACCTACACCACACATAAAGACAATAGCATCTAGACATGAAAAGTTTGGGAGAGTTGTCAATGGGAATGAAAACAGCTCAGATGGTTCCAGGAAGGTAACAAAACCTGGAAGTCCAAAAAGGAATCTTTAGGGTGAGTGGACCCTTAGATGAAAGATTATGTATGTGGGATGACACAGTGTCTGTTTCCTAATAGCTGTGGAACTAGACTGATAGTAAATAAATTTGGAAGTATTAGTGTCTCTGAAGCAGGATCATTAAATTCCAGATATGACCCACTTGTTAACTGATAGTGTATCTGAATTTTTATGTTTATGAAATCTCCAGGTATGAATTATTAAAACCAAAAGTTGTACTTTTGTAAAAAAAAAAAATCAATAATATATCTAGAATTAGGGAAACTATTACCAAAAATTCAGGTAGTTTAATCTTTCTCTGATTTCCCAAATGATGTCGATTATTTTGTTTAGGCTCACTTGGCACTTTGCACCTTCTTAAATTACAGCATCCTTCAGTGTACAGAAAGCTGTTTCAGAGAGCTCCACATTGGTGGTTGCTCCAGGGCATGCCAAGCATCTTATTATTATTTTTATCTCTAGACATGGTACAGTATGAGAGAAAAAGAAATCTTAAATTAGTTACTTAAGGTACTGATTTTTTGGAATTATCTTTTGAAGTGTTATGTTTCTGTCACTCTTAGGAAATATTTCCAGTTGGGGGTAGCCAGGGGATAGGGCCTTTGCTGCCCTCTGGTGAGGTACATTTCCTGTGCATATTAACAGCATGATTAATGATTTGCGTTATAAATAAATGAATTCATATTTTATTCGGCCCTTTCATATTTCATGCGGGACATTTATATAACAGAAAACCTCTATGTGCATAATGATATGGGGGTTAGGAATATAGAGCATTAAGTGATAGACAGCTTGAACTGGAGAAAACGTCAAGCCCTGGCTCTAAGCGGAGAGCTGTGCCAGAGACAGAGCCAACGATACCCTCCAGCCCACTTTTTTGCAACTGAGGTTTGATTTGGCAGAAATTCAGTACAGTGGGGAAAATCTAT